TTAATTGTATAGTTGTACGTAACTAATTTGTGTATTTATTGAATTGTTTATGTAAATTCTATTTGGTTCCGTAAAATACTTTTTATCCAACCCATGAATACTGACATGGAGCTCACCATCATTCGCACATAAACATAAAAGCCCGGAGTCCAGAGTTCCGTAAAAAAATAAACAGAGAAAATATAAAAAGTGAAATTGCTCTTTGTCTTTCACCATCAAAGGGGTGTTGTTTAAGGTACAAAAATATCCAAGTGGCGATTTTCGGAGTCTACCTGACCCTCAAATACCGAGGTCGGGTGTTTCGCTGGGAATTTTGTCAAAGTCACTCCGTCGAGCCCAGGAATGGGGACAATACGTCTTCATGCAACATTCACGGACCCCTGACCTTACATTATTAGAAATGGGAGAATAACTGCAAGAATACATTATGGAATTCCGATGCTATTTCAATACAAACCTCGACTCCAACTTTTAGTTTAGACTGAAGCTGTAGAGATAATCTGTTACACAAAGGACTTGCGTAAATGGTATCTTAGGTGCTATTGTACTTAGTGTCGGAGATAAACTATGCAGTATAATGTTACACAATAGCATTCAGTATCAACTAATGTCCACAGATATAACCACTTAAGCAAACATCTGTTCTGCAATTTATGAAGAGTAAAGTGCACTATTAAGTTAAGAGATTAACAAATTACATTAATATAGACAGAAAACATTCTGGTTAACAAGATACGTTAATTTTTACCAGAGCATAGCAATTAAATAATAACATTTCGTGTATGAAACTAGTATAATAGTCGATTTTCCTCCAGCAACGACGTTCTACGTTAAGTTAGTTGTTTTCTCGTGGGAGCGAGCGCCGTAATGACTGTGTTTTCCTTTGTCTGCAACGCGAACCAACTAAGAGTATGTCAGTAATGTCCCCGATTAATATCTGTGTGTGTTGCGTGCGGCTCGAATACGTTTAAGTTTTTATAGGCCAGTGCCTAACTTAATTGACTTCAACAAATGGCCAGCATGTACCAATTTGTAGCTTGTAGCGGTGCTACGTGTTCGTAGCAGTTCGTAGCGTGGCCGCTACGCTGCCATCGTTTAGCTCGGTCCGTCTTGCTAGCTACGGAACATTTAATTCAGTTTAACGAGTTTTACTTCATCTCATTCCATTACCAACACATTTTATTCGTACGGGTTGAAATGTTATGGGAGTTCGCTAGTTTTAAATGGGGCTATGTCGTTGATTAAATGAGTGAATTCATGATTCAGAGTGTTAGGTGAAACGGTGAAATGATTTGATTACAAAGTAAAGTAAATTATTTTGTAGGATTTTTAAAATAAATCTACAATGTACTAAATTCAGAATAGACATTATAATTAAAATATTATTAAATAAATGTTTCAATGTATCGCAACACGCGCCTGATAGAGAAAAAAGGCTCTGATGAATTCATTAAAGACACGTGTGCTTTATTATGGTAATTAATTATTATTATCGCAGCAAAATTAACGAGCATATTTTGCTCCATCAATTTGTATTTTCGTATAATTAAAGCGTAAAGTGATGGGCTGTTAAAGTGATCTTTGGAAGTGTGAATAGAAATTAATGGAATAAAATGAATCAAATAATAAAATTAATTATTTATGAGATAAAATTAAAATGTTCCGTTAGTTAAGTGACATTGTCATTTGTGATATTGTTTATTTTTTTTTTATAATTTCTCATTGATCTGGAACTGGATCTGCTACATTTTGCTTAGGCATAGTCCAATGTCAAACTTAGCTAATAACTTACGCCGTAATGTTAAATCACCAAAGAGATGTATTACCTGATGGTAAGCAATCGGCTGTGCACCTGCAACACCAGGATGTGTTAAGTATCCCGTTTCCCGGGATTAAAATTTCGAAGATAGAGGGATTAGGGAGGGTAAGGATTGAGCCTCCGGGACCTTGAGCATGTATGGTGATAAATGTTCATTTCTTATTTAGAGAATACATAAGTGCTTGTTTCACAATGTTTGGGCGGTCAACTATGTATAAGATAAATAATGTAGAACGTAATTTGTATAAACTATCTGCTATATAAGTTTATCGGGAACTTATATGAAGATGGTGAAACATGCGTTAAGGCTTTGATAATTATGATGTTGATATGCCTGGCAGTAAATGTGCACAAACAGTGCACTTACATGAAAACAAAACAATATATATTATTGTAACATTCCCACCAAATAGGTTTGATTTACAAAAAAAAAAAAAATCGAAAGTGAATAAAAAACCAATAATATTTTTTTTAATGACGTTCCATTTCACAATTCGAATGTCATTTAACAATTCGAATGTCATTTCAATTGTTTTCATTCTGTGCTGCCAGAGCGCAACTAATAAAATAGGTTCAGTTATTTGATAACAATTTGAAATGTGTTCCAATAAATTTTCTAACTGAATTAGAGTGAGCTTTGTTTATGATGTTCATATATTTTGTTAGAAAATATAGTAAATAAATATGTGTATATGTTTCTGCAAACAGAGATAAGGTGTCGTGTTACTTTTCGTAAGTCGCATTAAATTAAATACCTTTGTAAAGTTGTTTGTTTTTTTTTCTTGATAAAAATTGAGGGCTGAGTTTTATAGTGAACTTAGTAGCTTTTGCTAGCGGTTTCACCCTCAGCAACAAAGTAAAAAGTAGCCGATGTATTATTCCCGACTATAGTCTATCTCTATTCCGAATCCCATTCATATTCGTTCAATAGTTTTTAAATAAAAGAGTAAAAAAGGTCATGTCAAAAGAAGCATGCGCGTCGGGGTCGCCCATGACACCGTTCGTCCACATCTGAACTGTCCTCCACATAAAAGAAGTTTCCTTTAGGCCTCATTTACGGAGACGCGGCGCGTTGTGGTGTCCGTTATACATTGCTCATAATGTTCGTATGTTTGATTTTGCGCGCTTGTTGAAACGGTCTGCTGCCGTAATGTACGACGAACGCACAACGCGCCATACGTCGCCATATTATATCTTACCACATTTTTTTTATTGAAGAAAGTATACCATCTTAACTTGAAAAGTGCAACTCCTAAATTGTACAGTCCGAAATAAAATCGTTTACCCTCGGCAAACAGCGCAGTTTACCTAAAGTTAGCCATTTGTGTAGAAGATTGTGGGTTCGAGTATTTATTGAGGCCACCGCATATTTGTTTGGGGATTATTTGGTTGCGTGTTGGGGTAAGCAGGGTTGTTATAGCAATTAAACAATTTTCGTATGTCTGTGTTTCTTTGATTCGGCAGGTTAACTATTTCGTATGTCGATGCAAATACGTGGTAGAAGTCATTTATTTAGATTCTCAAGTTGTGTGTTATTGGGGTTTCAAAAAGTATAAACATATAGTCTAGTGTTGTGCCCAAAGTATGGCAATCGACTCGTCATTTATTAGCCTTATAGTTGATGCAAAACCAAATATTTGACTATGTAACTATAGGAAACATTAAGTCGTAGTGGCCCGGAGTTTATCTCGCTTCTCGCGCACAATGGTCATTTTTCTAAGCTGTATCTACTTTTTACAATAACTATCCCATACTGTGAAGAAAGACATCGTAATAAATCTGTAAATCATTGTTCTAATTGTAGGTTGGAAATCACCAAACCGCTTTGAGCGAGCATAGTGATTTCTAAACAAACCTTCTCCTTGTGAAAAGAGACCTTTGTATGGCTGATGAAGATGGTACTAAAACTGTAAACCTCCTTAACAAACAATCCACCTAAATATTTATTTTTAATAAACTCAGCCTAGTGATAACTGCTTTAGTAAATAATCCGTTCTTCAAATCTTTAAATGAGGCCTATTCACCGCTGGGTCTCAAAGTATGTACGTTACCATACATAGCTTGTACTCGTATATGTAACTTCTAACCGTTATTAATTATAGAGAGAGCGACATTACAAGTTATATTTAATAACTGTCACGTTTGTAATTAAGATCCCTTAGTTGTTGGTTAGGTAAGGGTTCGGTTCAAAAGGCACCGATGAGGTTATTTGATTACAATACTATTATAATTCACTTCCATACGTAACGTGTACCTAAAACGTTAGTGTTTTCGGTTACTCGTAAATTCTTAGTTATTGTTTTTAGTGCGCGAAACGTTAACGTAAACTGACGAATAAAGGTAACTTTAAGACTTTGACGTTTAATGTTTTATGTGTATTTTTATTTCTTTCTCGATATTTTATGTGCCATTTGTCTCCGTTGAAAATAAAATAATTGATAATATTTTGGAATGTTTGCAAGTAATAGAAGATTTTCAACACACTGTCAGACTGTCAGAAAATAAGTGTATAGTCTAATTCTTCGACAATGCTACTATTAGTTATTTTATTTGTGGTAGTGGTTTGAGTAATTCATTTATACAAACCGTAACAAAAATACTATGTTACCCTCCTTTATTCTGACGTAATATACCAAATACTAAACAAATTAGATTATTTGAAACTCTTTAATTAAATAAAAACGTCCTTACTCATCTCGCAGGTATCACAAGAGCCGAAAAAAGAAGAAGATTTCCAGGACAAGTTCACTTTAATAAACCTGAACATTTTATTGAATAAATAACGACTTACTCACGTGAATTAATTGAGAAAAGCTCTACTAGTTTCAAGTCACAACGGGATTCTTATTCAATCTCTTATGTGTATACTGTATTGTCATTACTCGATAATGTAATGTGTTTTTTATGGAAAACGAGTATGGTGAGCAATCGGCGCCACCCGCGGGTATCCACGACATTGAGAAGTTATAAGTTTTTCAGGGTTCGGAATTGAGGATCGAGAAGGTCTTATTCTCCTTAAGACCTCCGGTTAACCACGTGCACACAGCAAAACACAACGCAAGCGCTATTTCACGCTAGTTTATGTGAGGCCATGTCATTCATCTCGAAGCCTAGCTCCACACTTGATGTAACTAATATTGAATTATCTGCCTAGTATACTAAGAATCCAAATTTTCCTCAGATGGGGCATCTCTCAGTGGTGATACCACCAGACATTGCTGACGATGACGGCTCCGAGGCCAGTGCTCCTGAAGGAGGGTCTGTGGAGCTGCGCTGCACTGCGGCAGGAGTACCAGCTCCCATTATATCTTGGAAGCGGACTGGAGGACGGAACATTGTGTTCCGTGATGACAATGGGAAAGAAGTTAAAGGTGAGGCTACTTTTTTGGACTACCTATTTACAATTCTTTAAAAAATATATTTTGATTAATACAATTTTGCATTTGTCCTCTGACGACAAATGATTACATATGGATAATCCTATAATGATTATGTCTTCATATATATGAATAATAATATAATAGAATGAATAATGAAATCATACATATTCATTACATAATGTTATATATAGGTATACTTATAGATGGTTATAATGATTATGTCCTGTTTATTTATTTAACACTTTATGTACATACAAAATCATATATACAAAGGCGGACTTAATGCCCGAAGGCATTCTCTACCAGTCAACCTCAAGGGTGATGGAGAGAAGTGTTAATAATAGGTTTTAAACAAGCACACAATGATTAAAAAGTATAGGCATGTAAGGCAACATTTACATATAATACAAAACATAATATATGAATACAATAAATCTAATCTACAAATACACAATTAACATATAAATAATACATAAATAATATAATTAAATATGGGAAGAATAGATTACGAATATATACAAGAACAAAAACAACAATACACTAATTAGTGGAATCTGTCAGTTTCCTTAGCAAGTAATTCCGAACTTTAAATTTGAAAGATAGCCGACTGTTTATGTTCTGTTGTAGTTCGATAGTATTGTAAACTGAAACTTGATTTAGTAACATAATAATGACTGGTTTAGTTATTGCAAGTTTGATGGCATTTTAGTGCATTTTAACAACATAATGTTGATAAAATATGCACTGTCAACTAATTCAGTTGACTTATTAATTTAATAATGTTATAAAGTTTGACAATGTTAGTTCTATTAACATTGTTACAAAAAGGCCAGTGCCAAATCAGCTAAATTTAATCGCAGAAATCTACGTAGATTTTACAAAAGAATACCAAGGTTTTCTTGCTAAACACTGGGATTATGTCCCTGAGAATATTATGTAAATGAAATTCTGGCAAAGAGTCAACCCGATTACAACTATGTTCAACTAAATTTTTTTCTTTTAGCCAACTAAAAAGAGGTTCGTCGTTTTTTACACATAATGTATGGAATCTGCATTAAATGCAAAGTTGAAAAGATTAATGTCCTATTGACTTGGGGAGAAGAATTTAGATATATGATCTAAATCCTTCCAATTGAGAGAGTTTTAATTTCTTGATAGGCTTTCTTGCGACAGTGATTGATTGAGGAAATTCCTTATTTTTTGAGTGAAAATAAAACGGGCGTCTCCTTGCATTTTCGCAACGTAGGTAAGTGATTGTGATTCAAAAACAATGTATTGTTATAACGAATGATGATCTGATAAAAGTTTTTTATTGAACAAAATTTGGTAAAATAAAGTTCAGGGAAATTATAAAACCTTTTTTCTCTCTTTGATTTACCGATTGTTTGAAATAAAAGATAATAATCAAGGTACCATTAAAAGGCAAAAAATAAAACGTCAATTTTCCGTTGAATTTTATTCGCATCACTGGGATCCGGCTAAGTGGTAAAAAAGAAACAAGACTAATTTTGCATTCAAAGCCCGCCCGGAGCGGGCGCAGGTGCTAGAGCGGTTAAAACATTGGAGTTTTATGGGATTTATTAAGATATTGCCCTAAGGATATTGGAAAGAAAATTCCAATCCGATATAAATGTACAACGTGCTCGCAGAGTGACATCTAAATAATGATGGAACGAGATGATCGCGCACATATAATTTTGAAACGTTTATTTATGTTCTGAGAGTAGAAAAATAAATTATCCATATCAACAGCCGAGACGAACCTGCTTTATATAGAAAAAACGCCTACTCAAATTGGTCCTTAAACTGTTTTATTAAATACCTTTTTTCGTTCTCAGCTTTATTTTAAACCTATGGTTTTCAAATTAATTATTTTAAAGAAATGCTTACTTAACATTTAAATTCAATGAGAAAATTTTATTTACAAAAAAAAAAAAAATACAGGGCTGTCAACAGTAAACAAAAGAAAGCGACGTCTGATGCTCACGGCCGGAATTCATTTCCGCGGAAAAAACGTGTTCAAAGAACTCAATTACTACTTAAACAAAATATTGTAGCAATCCGGGTTTCAGTCAGGAAATTAAACGAACGGCTTAGTGACCGGCCTGACAAAAGGCTGTTATCTCTTATAGTTATAATGACGTACCCTTTACAACGCAACGCGACACTAGGTGAAAAGACATAGGAGTTAAAGCAATTATAGGGCTAGTCATTTTAACACATACGCATCGTTGTATTTCTAATGGCGTGTAATCCCTTATTCTAATTTATACCTTAATCTAAATGCATTAGACCCAAAATTGCCAGTCTCTGTTGGGCTATTTAAAACCTTTTCGGTGCGGTGTTTTACGAATTTGACCCGTTTTATTTAAGCCATTAAGCGTAAACAAAAGACTGGCGTCCCTCTGTAAACGGAGGGTGGTTGTAATAGTTAACAGAGTGGTGGAACCGGCTCTGCCTTTGTATTAATTGGACATGTTAAACACGCTTCACTAAATATGTAAGAATTGCCTTCGTTGTTGCTATTCGCGTCTTCCATTTTCCACATTTTTCGTTTCCCTCCCTGCGTCCAACGCGAGCTCGGATTCGATTATTGAGAATTTGTTTATGAGCTAAAAAAATATAAATCATTAATACTTTGAGATACGATGTTAACTACTTTATTTTATTTCTTTATTCTATATTTTTCTATTTTGAATGTGTTCTATTTAATCGTTAAGAATTAATCCTTCACTTTCTTTTTATAATTGCCTAAATCGTATTATTTCGTTTCTACACTAATTGATGAACACAATTAACTTTAAGTAAGCTGCCGTTTCTTTCGTCCCTAATCTACTTGAAATCTACTAAATCTGACAACAATACGAGGAAATTTGGCCCTTATGGCTAAATAGAACATAAGCCGGAAACCGATACGTGTCATTGAATTAAGAACACATGTAACAAGGAAAGTGTAAGATGTTAATTAATTGTATTTTTATCTTTACTCATGTCGGCTCTATGGTACTAATAGTCGTTAGCAACGTCTTTAATTATTTACTTTGTGAAATACACGGTATATTGTTACGAAGTAATTATTAAGAAATTATCATGTCAATTTACTTTCACAAGATACCTAGTGTAAATGATTTTGATAACAATCATCACCAAAACATTTAAAACGATTTACTCCCATGATCAACAACATCGATTAACTGAGAAAAGGTCTCCTGGTTTTATATCAGTACTCTTATTCATAAAAAGTTTGCGTGTCGCCGCGACGCCAATTTAAATATAATAATAAAATGAAAAACTTGAATACCAGAATATCATACCTCAGGTTCATAATACGATCTAAGATCAACATATTCTTGTTAGTCGTCTCAGTAGACATTAAAATTTACGTCAAATTAGGCATTAATATCTACGTCAAAGTTTTAAAAAGATAAAATATATGAGTATAACTGTAAAACAAGTGTATACATTACTAGCGACCGCACCATACATTATATATCGCACGGTTGCAATGCTGATACTACGTAAATTTGTTTACTATTCAATGAATGTTATTATACATATAAGCCGTCCTCTTCAATCACTCTATCTATAAAAAAAAACAGAATAAGTATCCGTTGCGCTGTTTTAAAGATTAAAGCATACATAGAGATATAGGGACAGAGAAAGCGACTTTGTTTTAAACTATGTAGTGATTGTCAAAAGTCACTGTCAATTCCACAAGGAGATTTAAGTTAGTTAATTCAAGCATTTTTATATCAAAGGTACTAACAACCCTAGAGATTCGTAATAATTTTTATTTCATACTTAATTGCTTGTTTTCATTAATAAAACAGGAAGTAATCTGAGAGTCGGCAATGCAGCGTAATAATACTGCAGCGAATAGCGAACTTTATAATTTTTTGTGCACTTTGTTGAGTAAAATATTTATGCTTAAAATTCTCAGTTACTTTTCTGATTCAGTGATTGAAGCCATTCTTGCTTTGATCCCTGGGTTGGTCAGGTTAGGTTTTTGATTTCAGTTTCTTTTTTGTGACTGCGTGATTTTTCGTATTTACATCTATACTAAATTTATAAAGAGGTAAAATTTGTAAATTTGTAAGTTTGTATGTTTGTAAGTTTGTATGTAGAGGATAATCTTTGGAACCGCTGGACGGATTGCCAAAATTCTTTCTCTGATAGATAACTACAATGTTCCTAAGTGCTATATAGGCTATAAAACATTACGCTACGATTAAATGAAGCCGAGCAGCGAATAAAACCGCGCGAGAGTAGCTTGTATTATAAATAATGGTAAGATTAACGGAAAAAACCTTATTTATGTAATTTATCTTCAATTTTATTCGAATCGATTCAGCTTGTTGAAACTATCCAACACAATATAATATACATACAGCCTTTACTGATGTAGGATGTCGGCTCATACCTATATTTATGAAAGCGATAGAAAAGAGTAACTTAATTCGTATTATCAAGCGAAACAACGAAAATATATATTTTAATTATCTGAGATTAACTAAGTATTTAGGGCGCTTTAATTGTTTTAAGGATTATTTTATTCGAGACTTAGAGGTTAAAGAGGGCAAATGGAACATTTAAGTATATTAAGTGTCATTGTGTAAATTGTATGAACAAACCATTATACAGAGATCTCTTATAAACCTAACTCTTTTAATTTGAAAGCTTCAATTTTGAAATGATTACTATCTATTCCATATTCAAATTGGTGTTCACATACAATATGACTAGCTTTTGCCTCCGTTCGCGTGGAATAGTGACTTCCTGCAGATTTTTGGCATAAAAATATCCTATGTCCTTTCTCGAGTTCCAAACTATGTCTGTACCAAATTTCACAGCAATCGGTTCAGTAGTTTAGGCGTGAAAATAAGACTGACAGACATATGTAGTTACTTTCGCATTTATAATACAGTTAGGATTTTAACACAAACCAACATCCTAATAAAAACACAATTAATGTCCTTCAAGCTCACCAATGGCGCAATATCATCATTTAAAATACGTTCAGTTGCAGAAAATATTTGAAGCAAGAAATGAAATCGGAAAACAATTAGTCTTGGAGCAATAATAACGGGGAATTGCTGAATCAGAGTCGACGTCTAAAGTAACAAGTTGGCTGCGACATGTAGCAACTCACAAACCAAGTTTATAACCCGTTAATAAAATACAATTTCATACAAACGCCCGCTTTTGATATTGTACGCATTACGTAGTAACAGTATTTTATGTGCCCCCAGTAGCGGGGGTCGTATGCTATAATAAAGCGATAAATTATTTCCACTTAAATTTAATTTGACAGCTTTAGCTGTTGAGTTTTGATTAAAATGTGAAGATTTTGGGATAAGTACGTGAAATTAGTTGTGTTAATCAACTTTAAGAAAAAATTTCAGCTATTTTTGTTTCATCATCATCATCATCATCAGCCTATAAGTGCCCACTGCTGAGCAAAGGTCTCTTCTCACGGGGAGAATGTTTGAGCATTATTCACTACGCTTGCTCAAGGCGTATTGGCGATTTTAAACTTATAATTAGAAATTATAAGTCCAGGTTTCCTCAAGATGTTTTCCTTCACCGTATATCAGTGGTGTCCAAATGAACATAGAAAGTACACATTGCTTGGAAGAAGTTAGTTACCCTTAACGTAACGTAGGGCCACCACGTCCGAATACAGATCGAATACGACAATTTGATTCTTCCAATCGTCTTAACGACTGTCAAAACAAGTAGTCACTGTGCATTCAATTGCTAAGGAAAGTAGATTTATTTATTTATACCAGGGTAGTTGTTCTCAATATCCCTTTTAACATAGAATTTTTATTAACACTACTGAAAACTGAACTCGATGCCGCTTTGTTTAACACTAGTAATAAAGATCAGCTGTTTAGCAATTCACGATATTGACACTGTAGAACGGGAACACTCAAGAGTAATATTATTTTTCACACAAAGTTAAGCTTCTGTTCAACAATGTTAATAAAAGTATATGTAATCTACATTAGGAACAGTTTTCAACAATGTGGTATAACAATTTCTTTTTATTTATCATATAAACATATAAATTACATTTTTAAATATTTCTTAAAAATAAATAATAAAAAACATTTAAAAATATAAAAAATAGTGTCCCACCGGTATCGGGAACAGGGTCCTAACTACCGGCGGTCAGGGCTCTAGAGAAAGGAACCTCCTGACAATACGAGCCGTGTCCAGGAGTACCACTTTCTGAATCAAGCCCTTGATCCAGCCACCTAACGAGAGCCTCCTAAGGTGTTGGTCGAGGCTCTTAGCTATTAAGCTATTGGCTGACACGACTATCGGTACAATGATTGCCGAATCCACTTCCCACATGTCGACAACCTCGCGTGCCAAGTCAATTATTGTTATCATGCAAAAATAAACAGTAAAAAATAGACCGTAACTAACTTGATTCTAGATTATGGCTGACACCAAACAATTGGCTACGTACGTATATCTCCTTGTTAAAGCAAGGCGTAATTTTTCAAGGCAAAATGTATCTCCTGGGTGTTGCGCACTCAGTTACGAAATTGTTGTAATAAATATGGACCAAGATTTTGCCGCTTTAGCAAATTTATTCATGTAAAACGCGATTCGTTTTATTCATAACTTGTGAAGTTCCTAGTTTGTTTGATGTGTCGTAATGTGGACCTGGAGATGTCATGTTTTCTCTTCAACGCCGTAGCGACATAAATTGAAATGCAAATGTCAGTGCCCTCGGCCTGTAAATGACAGTCTTTTAGTGCTATCAAAATATTTGAGTCTATAAACATACCTAGGCACTCTAAATTAAACACATTCAATATTAAATAAGCGTTATTGATATCAAACAAGTCTGTTTAGGGAGACAACAAAAACGACTATCTTTCAAGTATATTGAAACGTCTCGTGAAAAGTTATATCAAATAATTTAGTTGATAAGTTTTTGTTAGATAAAAATTTGAATTCTTAAGGCAATTTTTATGTAAAATATTTTATCTTCACTTACTGGGACATTACAAATTTTACGACTACAAGTTTTTTTAAACGGCCGTTCAATGCGCTTGTTATTCTGATTTATGATAAGCAATAAAGGGGCCATCGTTTAACTTGATATAGGGCCTGGATCATTGCTGAAGGTGATTTCTGATACTGAGCTAAAGGTCATCGTAATAAACACCTGGTTAGGTCGCCTTCACGAGGGTAAACGTGACCTCAAACTTTAGCTAAAGTACTAACTTCAATGGTTAGGAATATGCTAATAGATCATTGTTAACTTTTGAAACTTAAATAGTTATTCGTTCAGCCTAATACGATCAATACGATAGAGTTTACAAATAGTAACATGTGGTGTACTTATACCCAAAAAACCCAAAAAAAACCAGTTGGCCTTACATTATGCCACCTTACGTTACTCTTATCAGTCCAGTCCAGCTAATCATCATCTGTTTAAAACGTAGTTTTTTAACCAACTCACACTACTACTGCAGAAAGAATAGGGACGATAATTGAATGACAATATTGAATTGAACTTTGCATTGTATTATTAGGAGTTATCTTTTGAATATATTAATTTAAAATAATTTAATTTTGTTATCCAGTGGTAGAGAGTTTTGTTGGCTCGACTTTGGCGCTAAAAGGACTTCAGCGCTCCGACATGGGGACGTATTTGTGCATCGCAGCTAATGGCGTCCCGCCAACTAAAAGCAGGCGATATGAAGTCTCAGTGCTATGTAAGTATGATATGTTTTTAAATGAAAATAAGCTCGTACTTACAACCTTTTATGTTTATTATACTCAGTCTGAAATGAGAAAATGTTGAACCAGAAAAAAATTTCGTTAAGAAATTGGGTGCAGTAGAGCTTTTTATTCATATTAGCATTTTTAAAGTGGAATGAATAATTAAACGATTCAATTAATAAACTAAGTATTTATTAAAGTATATGTAAGTAAATCAGTAATAAAGCAAAACCAACCATCAAAATATTTAAAAAATATACTATTTAAAAAATTATAATATTTAGGCTTCTTTGTTTGCAGCAAGATGTCTTAAATCTAGTTTCCAACTAGACAAATTAAATACTTTTATTGAAATGTTAAACACGATACTTATCTATGAATAGTCAAATTAGTATACTTATTCCTAAACTTAAAATTAAAACGAAGTATATCGTCGAATCAATGAATAAAAATAGGATTACGTTTTTTTTAAATGAATTAAAAAAAATCGTATTTTTATTCATTTGTGTAGAAAAGAGAAAAAAAATAATTTTTCTTAGGAATCTCTCAAGTGATATGAGCTTATACTATTTATTCTATTGGATTCATAACAAAAAAATGGAAAGTGGGCTACAGATTATATGCATATTATGAGCACTTTTGCTTAGCCTGTCGACGATTAAAAGGTTAGGGAGAAATTTCGCAAAGAAGAAAGTTACGACAATTCTTAGTGTGACATTTAAATAAGTTTGTATGAACAAAGTACAAGAACAAACTTATGTAAAAATACAGAGTTTCTGGAATATAAAGTATGCAAGTTATATCTTTAACAAAATTGTGCCAGTTTAAAGGTTTGCGTAAACCTAATTGTGTGGATTTAATTCGGCCTAGTTTAAATTAGTTGATCATTTCTTGTGTATGAGTAATTAAGTTTCTTTAATAGTGATACAGTTTTAGAGGTCAGTTTATAATGGTTTTTAATATTTATATGAAAAACATTTAAAAGTCTTTTTCAACTATAGAAATAAAAATGTCTTGCCTTAAGTTCCAATCTTAATACAATACCAATGTAACTTAGGACCGTGTCGGTTTAACTCGGTTGTTTTTTTATTACCTATACAAAATTAAGTTTATTTAGTAGTGATATTGGTTTAAAGGTATATGCATAATGTGTTTTTAAGGTCAAACCAATACCTGTAACAGTATTGCTCCTCGAATCCGACTCTTATTTCAACATGACTAGTAGTTTTTTAAGGTTAAAAATATTAACAGTATTAGTCTTCGGAGTCTCCTTTCAGCATAACTTGCTTTGGGTTACATCCTTAATACAATATCAATGTAACTTAGAACCGTGTCAAAATGACTAGTGTGCAAGTAAGAATTTATTTTATCATACAAAAGGTACTTTATCTTGCTCAGGTTCTTTTACTTTAACCCCTCCATTATTTGTGTTCAGTCGAGCCGATTGTACGTGTGGGGAGTCCAGTCGTACTCCGAGCGGCAGACATGCACGTCACCCTCCAGTGCTACGTCGAAGCTTCGCCTAAATCACTTAACACCTGGCAGCGGGGAAAATCACAAGCTGGTAAGTTATAAAAGTATATTGAGTTTAGGTCCCATGTTGGGCGCCAATTTAAACAAAAAATATGATCGTTTATTTATGATAAAAAAGAATTCCATAGCCTTTTATATAGTTTTTAAAACATAAAGAGAAAGATATTGATTGAAATAAAAATACTGAATTTCCATTTAGCTACTTTTGTTTAGTCGACCTTGTCGGGCGCCAATACAAGAAAACAGTTTTAATTGATTCAATGTTTTAACTAAAACATTTTTTCTGTTTAGGTGGAAAGCTGCTAAACAGTTCAAAGTACGTGATATCAGAGGAAATCCTGAACGAGTATGCTTTGCGAATGAACCTGACTATAAATCGATTGAAGAAAGGCGATTTTGGGGAATACACATGTTCGGCGGCCAACGGGTACGGCAAAGCCGAGGGCATCATCACTTTGAAAGGTAAATTCATTTTGTAGTACAGCCATATTAAAGGCATGAATAGTTAAAACCCGTAATAGGTTTTGCAGGTCACACGAACTCGAGTATAAAGGGAAATGAAACACGGTTGGGACTTGCTGTAATGTGAATTTTAGATCAGTCACATTACTTTGTTTCACAAGGAACTGAGACTTTGTTAGAAAATCTGTGTTTTAGTGATGTACATGAATTTCCAAGCAATGATACTTGATAAAATTTAATTGTTGAACATTTTTTTCTATTTAAACATTAATGTAGATTCATAATACAAACAGATCACACAAAATCAGCCAATAGTGATTTTGATGGGTGATAGTACAGGAGTAAACAAGCGGGATATAACTGATGGTATCAACACCTTATTAAGACTAAACACAGGGAATATAATGTTATGTGCATTCCCATATGCTGACACTTTGTCACAAAGTGAAAATAGTAGAATTCATCATCTGAACAATTTAATATTTTTTTTGACCTCTTGTCATAGTGACAAATTATCATTTTTTGACACTAACAAATTTGTTAGTGGTTTTAAGTTGACCCGGGATTATATGTATATTCCCAGGAAATGTAAATTATTAATTGCTAGTTTGCTAGCAAATAGTATTAATTTATTAATAAGTAGTTTTAGTGACAAAACTATATTGATTAGACAATCTAACAATATAGAGATTAATTGTACATACAATAGTACGAAGGAGGCTCCAGATTTATTGACAAATGTGGATAGCACTCCGGATAGTATTCTTTTAAACTGACTTCCACGACAACAGAAGATAACCAATTAAATTACTCAAAATCCACATTCATTGAAAAGGTTTCTTCTGGCAATATTATTAAGCATCAATTTAAATTAAAACATAAAACTAAACTAGATAACTTGTTGTCATTGTACAGTCAAAATATTCAGGGCTTATCATCAAAATTCCTAGAAATGGAATTGTTTTTAGAGAAATTCCAATATGATATTATTTGTTTAACTGAACATTGGTTAAAAGATTATCAAGTAGAAACAATTAACTTCAATAACTATTGTGTTGGCAGCAATTATAGCCGCCAAGCAATGATACATGGTGGTAGCCTAATTTTAGTAAAGAACTCAATAAAATATACCTAAACAAAGACAAGACATTGCTCTGCTGTCAATTGAACACACAATAGAGTTGTCCTGTGTTGAGCTGGATAGGCATATTGTAGTATGTGTTTATAGGCCTCCTAACATACAGAATCTAAATATTTTTCGCTCTGTAATGGAAGATGTACTGCGGAAAACATGTTCTAGTAGTAAATGTACAATAGTATGTGGCGATTTTAATGTTGATCTCTTAGAAAACAATTCTCATTGTACAAACTTGTTAAGTCTCTTTCAATCATTTGATTTGTCTAATGTTTTCCTTGAGCCCACCCGAGTAACATCCACCTCGGCAACTTGTATAGATAATATTTTCTGTAATTGTGATTATTTACAAAGTGAAATTGTAAATAGATTACCATCTGATCACAGTGGGCTCACAGTTAACTTTAATACTATCACAACTGTGCCAAAAAAGGAAATATTGTTTAGACAAATCACATACAAAAAAATTTATTCATTAAATAATAAGCTAAAACATGAATTATGCAGCCAAGTACAAGACAATAATTGCCCGAGTGAGATATATGCTAATTTATTATCCCTTATAAAAATACAGTTCGATAAACTATTTCCTTTAAAACGTAAAAATGTTCAGTGTAAATTTGTATTCTGTGACTGGGCTACACCAGGTATTCGTATAAGTAGAGACAGGTTATTTGAGCTATACGGCCTGAAACCATTTAATAGTAGCGAGGCTTTTCGCAGATACGTTTCCAAATATTCAAAAATATTTAAAATAGTATGTAAGCATGCTAAGTCGCTCCACATTAGTAATAAAATCAGGACCGCGGAAAACAAAATAAAAGCTACCTGGAATATAATTAATAAAGAAACAGGTAGAAATAAATCACAAAACAATGAATTTAATTTAAAAACCGAAAAGGGATATACTAGTTCAAAATTGTCAGTTGCCCAGGAATTCGAAAGATTCTTTAAAAATATTCCTCTTAAAACTACGGAAACGTTAAAATCATCTCCAGCTCTTTCTGTCGAGCTTCTCAGGGGTAACGTCAAAGAATGTCCTTCTGACTTTAGCTTTCAATACACAACCCCCCAGGCAGTAATAAAGGCGTTCAATGAGATCAAAGTAAAGTCAACTGAAGATCTTTGGGGAATGTCTGTTCGAGTGTGCAGGTTTTTTATAGAGACTATTGCGCCGCACTTAACTTTCATTTTTAATAAAAGTGTAGGTCAAGGGGTTTTCCCGGATTTAATGAAACATAGTAAAGTAGTTCCATTATTTAAATCAGGCGATAGTACAGAACCTAATAACTATAGGCCGGTCTCTATTTTGCCAGTGCTCAGTAAAGTGTTCGAAAGGTTGATGCTTACTCAAATGCTGCGTCACTTTAACACGAATTCTATTTTCCATGACCATCAATACGGGTTCACCAAAGGACGTTGCACTACGGACGCAGGAGTATCACTTATAAAACAAGTCTTCAACTCGTGGGAAAAAGCACAGGATGCCATCGGAATATTTTGCGACCTTTCAAAGGCATTCGACTGTGTTGAGCACGAGACGCTGTTACTGAAGCTAGAACACTACGGCATTCGGGGGGTATCCCTAGATTTATTGAAATCATACCTTCAAGAAAGAAAAATTAAAGTACAAGTCAACAAAGTTAACTCACTGGGTGCTAGCGTATCTATGGGCGTACCGCAGGGCTCAATATTAGGTCCTTTTCTATTTTTAGTTTATGTGAATGACCTGCCCCATTTGTTCCAAAATGAACCGCATATGGTATTATTCGCTGATGACACTTCATTGATTTTTAAAATAAATAGACGAACAAACAAATATGACGAAGTTAATAATGCCTTAATGAAGGTTCAAAATTGGTTTACAATAAACAACTTATTACTAAATGATAAAAAGACTAAATGCATTAAATTTATTTTACCAAATGTTAAAAGTAACCTATGTGATGATATATTATTAAATGATCAGAAACTAGAATTTGTAAAAGAGACTACTTTCCTGGGGATCACTGTAGATGAGAAGTTGCAATGGGGGCCCCACATCAGGTCTCTAGCAGGACGATTGAGCTCTGCAGCTTATGCTGTCTGGAAGATCCGACAGCTAACCGATGTAGGCACGGCAAGACTAGTGTACTTTAGCTACTTTCACAGCATCATGTCGTATGGAATTCTGTTGTGGGGACAGGCATCCGACGTTGAGTCTATTTTTATCTTGCAAAAGCGTGCCGTCAGAGCTATATATAACTTAGGTCGTCGCGAATCTCTCAGAGAAAAGTTTAAGGAGATCAACATTCTGACCGTACCGAGTCAATTTATCTATGAAAACATTATGTATGTTAGGAAAAACCTACACTTATTTGTAAAGGTATCTGACAAACATGATTATCATACTAGACATAGGAATAGATTGAGTCAGCCTTTATTTAGATTGGCAAAAGTGCATAAGTCATTTCTGGGTTTCTGTGTTAAATGTTATAATAAAATCCCAGTTGAAATTCAAAATCTAAATGAAAGCAAATTTAAATTATGTATAAAGAAACATTTATGTAAACTAGCATACTACAAACTAAATGATTATATACAAGATAAAAATGCTTAAAGGCTAGCTGGTCCTAATCCACAGGATGTTTAGAGGAATTTTTGATTTTAATTATTAAATTGTACACTATGTTGTTAATTGTTGATGAAATTCTAAGTTTTTGTAAATGTGAGTACCCTGTAACCTATTATAATTAAGTAAGACTTGTAGAATATAGGTACTTGTGTCGGCTGGGAGCTGTCATGCTCACTTAGAGGTCTCATTGGCGGTGGCACGGCCACTGGATCGCCCAATTCCCTATAATATGGTTGAGTTGGGCGGTGCTGGTGTACGTGTCATGTTCGTGAACGGGCGCCGCCTATTGGGACTGGTCATCTCCAGGCTGTCTAAATATGTTGTCCTTGAGGTTCACTTCTTTTTCGTACTTTTTGCCTGAACATTAGTGTTACATTGTTCTCACATATCAGAACCGACTAAATGATGTAACAAAGAAATGTATTGTAAAACTGATTGAAAAAGAGTAACCATGGAGTTTCTTGCTCGTTCTTCTCCATAGGAATCTACACTTTGGAACGAGCAAATAGCTTCACTAGAGGACAGACGGACAGACTGACATGCTTAATTTTAAAGCTCATGTTATATACTTTTTTCCTTTTTTGCTTGCTTGACGTTCAAAAGTGCCTACTGTGGTCTAATTGAAATAAATGATTTTTGACTTTGACTTTGACTATAATCAATACTAATCAAATACTTCTGTTTATCAACAGAAACACCTCAAAGGACGACGACGACGACAACGACTACAACTACGACAACAACAACAACTCCGCGGCCGACAACTACTACACTTGCAACAACACGACCTCCGAAGCGTCATCTCAAAAAGCAGCATGACCGTGGCAACCAGAACGCACTCGACGCCGACATGCGTCAAGCGGAGCTCAACAACGCATTCAACTTCTACAATAGCGCCTTCACACCACCCAACAACTCCGTCAACGAGTACGCTCAAAGAACCGAACGACAGAAACTACGCCCCACTGGCTCAACGCGACAATACATCGTATACAACAAAACCAACAAAATCCAACAAAACACCATTCTTTTTACCATGTTCATATTACTACTAAAAGTTTTTGTATAGACAGAAATTAGATTTCTGATTTATTTTAAAAATATAGCATTAACATGTAGTGATAAAAACATGGCTGTTGAATTTTATATGTGTAAGTACGTATTTTGAGGTTGTTGTAAACGTTTTAGTGGATCTTGATGTTAATATTGTTATGTAAAAACATTATCGGCAGTTGTTTAATAAAAATAATGAGTTACGGCCTTAATATGTAAATTGAGACAATAAATACGAAGTTCTTAATATTAAGGCTCGACTGTCTTTGGCCTGTATAAACATAATTAATAATAGCAAGTACCTACATGCATACATACTTTGAGCGAACCTAGAATTAGCATAATATTTGCATTAGCTTGGATAAATATACAAAAAATATTTAATGTTCATTGGCATTTGTAAAAATAATGAACAGGAATTCTTTTTTCCAAAAATGTGTCAGCAAAAATGTATGTATGAAAAGGAAAATATCATTATTATCATATCAGGCGGCTATTAATATAATATGGAATATGGAATAAAAAATTGATAGACTTGAAACAGATCGAAGGAATATCTGAGAAAGATTTAGAAACTCCGTTTAGCTAACATTTTATTATTCTCGTATTATTATTATTCTATACAATTCTTATTATACAATAATAATGGCATAATAAACTAATATAATAACTTGTATTTATAAAAAATATGATAATAATATTGAGAATTAGTGTGTAAATTTAGTGCGTATTTATTTGTATATTATGACAATACGTTTGTAAAGACAATAGAAAGTAGAGTAAGTTAGAGACCAGTTTATTGTAAACAATAGTCGATTTTGTATAATTTGCCCTTAATAGTTCTAGAGTTATACCATTTTGTATAAAACAATTTAAAAAAAGGGTATTCCGAATAAAAGGTGTGCCCAGAACAACGAAATATAAGACCAACATTACAGAATATGTGTTTGTTTATTCTACAATAAATTACATGAAATTTGTTTTAAAAAAAAATATGATTTAAATTTTTTGAATACTGTATACGCATATTACACGCTTTATAGAAATTAAGTTGACATAATTTTTATTGTTTTATTTTTAATTTATTAAGTTTAAAATTAAGATCTAAAAATAAGTTGTTTATTTTATTAATAAAAAAAGTGTTAGATGATAAAATTTGATATTCGATAATAATAAATTTATGTCTTCCGGATAGTATATTAAAGTAATGTATTCGGCTCATTCGTGTTTATGAGTTATATAAAAATATTAGACGAAGTTCCTTTTGGACTTCAGACGTAACGTAGTCTTATGTAAGTGACGAGAAAGAATTTATTGTAGGGATAGTGTTACAATGAATATAAAACATGAATTTTGATAAGAATCGATTCTACTGTAAAAATGAATGAACGTGTATTTAGTAATAATTACTATAGAATTGAATAATATATTTAAAATTGTATCACGATTTAGTTTCAAAGTTTCACTGTAACTTATAGGTGTATTATTTTCATTATTCGAATATAAAAATGTGTCTACTTCCATCTAATAATGTAATAGTTTACGAATATTTATACTATTTATACAATTCATTTACTGAATATTATAATTTATCGTAAATTTATGAATATCGTAATTATATCATATTTCTTTTTAAAAATTTACAATATATTAATCGTCTTACTATCAATATCGGATGACAATAAACGTACTTCCATAATCAATTTCACTCTTAAATAGATTTATAAATAGCAAATAATATTTTGTATAATTAATATTCAGTTTTTATTGTAAATATAAATTTATTTCAACGTATTTGTATTTTTAAAATAGTAAAATTGCTAATGAAAATAATTTTCAAATAATAAATGACAATAAATACGACAATCATTGTAAATAATGAAATTCATGTTAAACCAATTTATTAGTATGAAATGCGACTATTTATCAATGTTAACTTTAAGATGTTGATATCATTTTATGACATTTTAAAATAAAAAATATAATCAAAGTAATCATACTGAATAATTGTTGCTTATTTATTTACCCCTGCTACACTTACTTAAGTTTTAAAACGAAATATCATGGGATTATAATATAATTAATGTATTATAAGCAAATATATGTAGGTTCATTATCTATTATCTAAACAGATGTATGTGAAGTTTGTCCTATACGAGTTGAGACTTGAATTAAGCCTAAATTTAAAACACCACGTTACCTCTAATAAGAAATTGCTCAATCAAATTATATATTTTTTAGCTCGAATAAACATTATGTAAAATACACATAGTATTACGGAGTATCATTGTCTAAGGGAAGAGTTTCGTTTGAGGATGAGTGGAAGATGTGGTCTTAATAAGGATCCTTACCTTGTTAGGCATATCAAAGCAGTTCTGTTTTATGATGCATCATCAAATGGCTTCCTTCGTATGAAACGAACTTAGTGACTAGAACGAAAAGGAACGGGGCTTTCGCCTTCTTGAGACCGAAACTGTGGTACCTTATTTTGTTACAAGGCAGAGCTAGCCTGAAGATTTGTCTGTATACTAAAGAATGTTCAATATTACACCGAAAATCATGACTGGACGAGAGTAGCACTTAATATTGCCCTATGTTTTTTACGGAAATGGTTTAGAATTATCATGAAGGATAGTGATGATGTATCAAAGATTTAGTTTAGAAGTAAGTTACTAAGAGAGGTGAGTAAATAAGATTATAAGCATGAGTCTGTCTTCATGTTGCGGGTGTAAGCGCAATGATGGACTGAAGCCCAGCTCGGAGTAGGTGAAGGAATGGGGTGGATTTTAGTCAGTTAGAGTCTGACACTCCTTCTTGACCCATAGCTAAGGCAAAGGAAGACTAGAATGACCTTACCGCTTAAAAAATATTTTGTGACTTATTAATAGAATTGAAGTAAGTAATAATGTACCAGTAATATTCAATGAAAGAAAACAGGAATCCCATGAATTTATTTTCTAGTTATTTTTGTTAATTGTTAGGGATTAGAGATATAGGATTTTAGGATTGAGGGCGTTGGGGTCATCTCATCAATCCCTCATTCAGCCTCCAATAACTTCAATTACCTAGTGGAAGCTTTATTTCTCACCTGCTATCAGTATGTACAATGTACGTCAACTCGTGTCGAACTATGGCTCTACTACACGAAAACACTTTTCCGGTTTAAAATTATATCTCTTCGTATATCTATCACCATTATGTGAAACAGTAAGTAGTATTCAGTAAGCAGCACTGCGTAAGCCGGAATACACACAAACTTATCTCAAGAGACATAATCTACCATTTGAAACATTAATGTCAATCCATCACTATTTGACACAAATACATTGACACGAGTTTACTTTTCCCAGCTTTTTGTCGAAAACTTACTTTGTGTGTTACTTACTTGCCTTACGTTTCGTTCCCGTAGGATACGTAGGCACATCTTTTCGGAATAAATTGGTCCTATGTTTACTATTCAGGAATAGGAATTGGAATTTGGAGTGGAGTTTGGAGTATATATAATTAATTCTATATCTATACTAATATTATAAAGAGGTAAATTTTGTAAGTTTGTGTGTAGGGGGTAATCTATGAAACCGCAGGTCGGATTTGTAAAAGTCATTCACAGATAGATAGGCACAATGCTCCTGAGTGCTATAGGCTATAAAACATCACGCTACGACTAAATGACGCCGAGTAGCGGGTGAAACCGCGCGAGAGTAGCTAGTATAATATATTTTGACCTAGAACCTAGTCTTTTTTTGAGGATATGTAGACCTTTGCATACTCGTAATATCAAAGGAGTTACTACAAGTGCATAGCCGGCATCTTGTGGCTCATTAGGGATTTAAGTATATAGGATTTGAGAATTGAGGATGGGGTAGAGGGTCGGGAAAGGATTGAACCACCGGTAAATTCACTCGCACGGGAAACACAACGTAAGTGTTGCTTCACACCAGTTTTCTGTGACGCCATAGTATCAATCTAATCGAGCCGGCCCTTTCGGCCGAAGCATGGTTCTGCTACGCTTAGCATGGCTCTCCCTAACTTCAAAAGTTTAATTATAAGTAATATATTTGAAATGCGAGGAAATCAATTACGATAGTCTTATTCAAAGATTGTTTATTAGTTAGTTTATTAATTCTTATTCTTTTTCTCCTAATTGTGTTAACAAAGTCAGTCTACATAACTGTTTATTCACGGGCCTGCTGGAAGAGATTTCTGAAGAAATAAGCTGTGCCTTTGTACCTTATTGCTGTATTATTTTTCTTGTCCAACTTACTGTGTATATAAATTATTAAATAAATAAAGATTTAAATAATTGAGAGTATTGAGATAGCCAAACGGCAGATTCAATAATGGCACTTTATTGATATTTATAGAAACCTCCTTTGAGACACAAATTGGTTATATATTTGAATTGAAAAACCACAAAAAAGTTCTACATTCTTCACTTTACTTAGAAACTAATCAACATATATCATGTTTATAGATACACAATACAAAAATTGAAAGATTTTCACTAGGTTAAGACCTTAATATATATTGTATTTTCTCACCAAACACACTACAACTTATAAATAAATAATTCTTCTTTCAAATGCTTTAAAATCCTAGATAAAGCGCGGGATTTGTACAAAATAATGCCATAGAAGAGCCACAATACTACAGAATGTAAAGTAGATCATTGTTGAACAACACAATAGCGCTGACAAAAAGAGTAAAAAACTTTATTCTGTTCTTCTCTTAATATTATAGTAAGAAAAAATAAAGTATAGTTGTAGGTCTTGAAATGAGGACAATAATCTTACATAGCTACCTATTTACTGACTATAGTGTAGTAGAACTTTTTTAATTAAAGGTGATACTGAAAAGATTGTTTAATAGTGTCGTGGTGGCCTGGAGGTTAAGGAGCCCGCTTCTCATGCATGAGGGTGTGGGTTCGAAACCTGGCAAGTACCAATGTGACTTTTTCCGAGTTATATGTACTTTCTATGATTATTTAGACACCACTGACATACGGTGAAGGTAAAC